ATATTACAAAGTATAAAATCTAAGTGTGTATTTGAAATTCAGTTATTAATCATAAAATATAATCCAGTAGTTAAAGCAAGTCAAAACATTATTGTTGTTTTTTTGGCAAATTTATTCCAAAGTGGTTCCATTATTTGGTGAATATCGATTATCGTCATGAACTAAGAGCACTATTGAGGTTGGGGATGTTAATTTGATTTATTTTATGTTTGCTTGTTTTGTTTTTTTTACTTTATTGATTAAGAATATGAGTCTTAGCCTAAATCACTGTGTGGTGCCAGGCGACATCAGAAATGTTTATTTTCCATATATTGATCTTTTTGTGAAATAAAATTAGACATAATCCTCAGCCTTCACTGGAACACAAAGCCTCACTTCTTCAAACTATCTCCACTTGTTCCTGAAGATGTCAAACTTACAAATTAATAAAATCAATAAGAAATAAGATACTGCACAAATTACAGTGTGTGAGAGGAGCACGAGGTCAAAGGCTTTCAAAAGAAAAGCCACTTATGGTGATGATGAGACAACCAGGAAAATGCCTAGGGTCCAGAAAGAAGSTGGGCACTCTGAAGAGACCAGGGTTTCTGAAGAGGCTGAACTCTCTAAAAAGTGTCAGGACCAGGTCAAATGTACCTGGAAAACAAAAAAGAAWAGTTACTGAAAAGAAAGAAGGACCTTTAAGGCAGCCTAGAAGAAAAGGTACAGCTGGACTTTATAATAAATGAAGATGATGTTTCTTCCACATTTTACACTGATATAGATTCATTAATACTAGTAATTATTTACAAACTGCATTAGATTATGATGCTAGTATAATGTGATTTTACTTTAATTTACTGATCCTYACTCTTTTTCTTTGACTGTGTGTTCACATCATGGAGTAGCATCATAATTAAGTTTTCTGTTGATCTCCCAGTGCAACAAGGAAGACYACATGAGAAAAATCTCCCAACTGGAGAGCTGATGCTGGAAAACATTTCAAAAGCAAACCAAAGAATAACTGCTATGACCCAGCTCAGCCAGGAAAAGGGGACATAAGATAAAAAAAACAGATGTAAAATTGTTTAAAAAATTAAAAATTTTTTATATTTTTTAGATTGTGTAAAACTAAAAAAAAACTAAATGTATCACCGTGCAGCTGGGCCTGCCAATCACCAACCTGCAAAAGCACAGTCCAATACAAACAAATGGCCTGAGGCTATAACAATGACATTCATCCACTCTGGATCAGTGAAGTAGACGTAGAGTGTATGGACCATCTTACACACATTGGAGCAGAGGTTGTGCTAGACTTTTTCCCTGTCYGTCATTTTGATCGACAGGGTAAAAAAAATACCTGTCATAATCTATTTTCATCTGTCACCTTATTATTTTATAATAAAAGTTCAACATTCAATGCCATTTATTGTCATTGTTTTTAATTAATATTATATCAGAACAAAAACAGATAATTGACATCAACCAGTTGAACACATTTAACTTTTTCTTCACAGTAACAAAAAAATAAAGAAATAGTAGTTTCAACAACTGCATATAAACAATGAAATTAAACAATTGCACATAACATAGGAACAGATAACTTGCTGTGGCCTGAACCCACTGTCTCACACCTTCCTCCTGGGCTGCATGGACCTGAATTGCACGTGCTTGTGCGGTGCAGTGGCTGTTGTCATGAGATTTAAGACTTCTGCCTCAGACAGATGACTTCTCATGATTGTTCTGATGTTGTTCTGGAGACTGAATCTGGGCTCTGCTGCCATACTGTTTGTTTAACACCCTCATCGTTATTGGGCTTTTTGAAGAAACTTAAAAAGTTAAGCTGCTGTGACATTTTTCCAAATGAAACCAATAAGGTCGCGCATCAAGCTAATTACCAGCAAGTGGTCAGGGGTGGTAATTGCAATCTGTCAAAATGAAAAACGGCATTCAGATATTTCTGTTAAAAAAATAAATACAAAAAAAATGTTTGGCTTACCATGACCCCTGCCCTGGAGTGACCATTACACAGGATGTGTCCTGGTCACTCCATGTTAACAGAACAGTTAAAAAGGCCAGACAGCGTCTCTTTCATCTCAGACGTCTCTGACTTCAGGCACTCCAAGGTGCTCAGGAACTTCTGCAGTGGGAGCATCATCACCTGAATGGGCAGCTGCACCAAAGAGAATTTCAAAGCACTTAAAAGGGTGGTCCACACATCTGAGCAAGCCATCAGAACAGTGTTACCTAAACTGCAGGACATCTGCAGGCTGAGAAGATCCTCAAAGAGCTCGACCACCACAGACACTYACTCCTCTCCTTGCTGCCATCAGGTCAGAGATTCTGCTGCCTGAGGGTGAACACTGAGAGAGTGAGGAGTTTATTTCCTCAGCTCATCCACCAGTTGAGCTCTGAACTCTGAATTCTTAGTAACAACAATGATAAAAACCAATTGAAAGATCCATGTTTGAAATACAACACATTCTGCACATTTTTCTCTCTCAATGTTCAGCATTGTTATACATTGTATTACTTGTGTATTAACTTCCTTTTTATCTTGTGCTCTCTTTATGTGCTTTTTATTATTATCCTGCATTTCACTGCAAATGAGTTTACATGCGATAAAGTTTGTCTTATCTTAAAAGATCCATCAACACTGTGATTTATTTCCAATAGGTAGCTGCTGGTACCAGCTGAGAATTACAGGGATGACGGCTTTACACCCAAACAATGGTCGTTTAGATAAAATTAAAGTTCTTTTCTACTTTGTTCCTTGGGATCAAAGAAGCATAGGCCTTAACACCTATTATAAATTCAAAAAGATTCTAAGATTTAAGTGTAAATAGGACACAAGGATACAGACTCCCACAATAAAAAAAGAAAAAAAAGAGAAAAATGTCTCAATTAATCATGTTATAGAACATAAAGGCTGACCAGGCAACAAAAACATGCCACACAAACAGGGAACTAAGTTTGTTGATTAATTCTCCCATTTTTATCTTATTTTTTTCTGAATACATCATTCTTTACTTTTACCTTCCCGAGTTATGTTCCTTCATTGCCCTGTTTCTTTTATTTGCTGCATCCCCCCACTTCTAGGCAACCAAGGGGGAATGATACAGCCAAAACAAATAAAAGAAGGGAGCCCACTCAGACCAATCGCACATAGGACCGTCAGATCTGGTATGTTCCCCTCTACTCTGCCACACCACTAACCCACTTTCCTCACACAATAAAAGAAACAAAGCCATAGGAAAATTAGACTACTGAATCCACCACAAAACAACAAACCAAAAGAGCCCCCCCCCCACACACACACACACACACACAAGTCCTTCAATGGTATCCCGGACAAGCCCCCAATTACAGATACAGAGAACAGGTGTGAGGCATGACAGATAAAATGTAATTAAAGTAACACAAATTAATTTCCCAAAACATTAAAACACATAAAGAATAAAACAACACAGTACACACAAATGGCTAAATTTACAAAACAAGCAAACAAACAATCAAAACAATACAAAACTAACAAAACAATATAATAA